GCAGCAGCCTGGGACTCTTCATTGTCGGCGGTTGATCTTCATTATTGACGGTCACAGATGGAGAATCTAGTGAGCGGGACCTCGGCCGCCGTTTCCTCTTCCACCGACAAGTCAAAGTACAATGGTGTGTGTGTGTGTGTGTGTGTGTGTGTGTGTGTGTGTGTGTGTGAGAGAGAGAGAGAGAGAGAGAGAGAGAGAGAGAGAAACGAAATTCGTCAAAGAGCATTTCAGGCAGAATGCCTGTCTGAGAAAAGAGAGGAGGATGGAGGGGAATGTAACAAACGCCGGGAAAAGAGAAGAGGAGGACGCCAAGACTGCGTCAGCGTCAAGCAATCACCCCCCTTTTGTTCAGGGGCGATTTGTCACTGTCACAGCTTTGATTCGGACCGAAGTTGTTCGTCTTCAGGGCCAATAAGACGAAGAAAAGGCCGAAGAAGGATCAGAAGAAGACTCTTGACAGAGAACTCCGCAGACTCCTGTTCACGAAGAAGAAGTTCATTATCTTCATCATCATCATATGAGGGACGCTGAGCCCAGTTCTCAGCTTGTTCGGTTCGGTTTCTCCGGGTAGAATGTGAGGACCCCGGCCTCAATCTTCTTATTCAATTTGGTAATATCAGCCTTGGGCAAAAAAAAAAAAAAAAAAAAAAATGATGAAGATGATTCGACGACGAAGACGAAGAAGACGAAGAATAGAGAGGTCCGCATCCTCTTTTCTACAACTCGTAATGATATTCTTCTTCTCCTCCTCCTCCTCCTCCTTCCCCTTAACTTTTTCGAAACGAAGGGGAAGGAGGAGGGGGAGGAGGAGAAGGAGGAGGAGAAGAAGACGAAGAAGAAGAAGAAGAAGAAGAAGAAGAAGAAGGACAGGAAAGGAAGGAAGGAAGACCTATGGAGAAGAAATGGGCACCGAATGGTCAACGACCGTGAGCAGAGGCTTTACTTTTCCGGAAATAGAAAAGCATATTTTATTATTTTTGAAAGATTCGTTTGTTTTTTTTTTCCCAAAAAGATTCGGTTTTCAAAGTTGGGCCGGCTGCGCAGGAGTTAAAAAAAAAAAAAAAAAAAAGTAGATACATAGCACATAGATCGATGCGACAAAGGATCTTCGCGATTCCTCGGACATATAGCAGAGGTTCAATTAGTACTATGAGGCTATGAGCTAAAAATAGAATAGAACAAAGAGCTCGTAGGAGGTCTCTGAGAAGGGGAGGGGTTCGATTCCCTTAGGCTGCAAGCTTAGATGAGCTAAAGGGAGTCGAACCCCTGAGACCCCTCCCCTTCTCAGGCTATGAGCTAAAAATAGAATAGAACAAAGAGCGCGCAGGAGAAGACACAACACATAGAGGGGGCTGGGGCTGCAAGCTTGCGAAGCCCAAACTCTCTCTCTCTTTTTTTTTTTTCCTTTTTTTTTTTTTTTTTTTTTTTTTTTTTTTTTTTTTTTTGGTAACTTCAGGGCAGGAGCCCACTTGCGAAGCCCAAACTCTGTCTGAGCGTCGATGACAATATCTAACGGCGTATGTGCTGACCGTCATTGCTCTTTTTTTTCTTCTTTTTTCTTTGCTTTTCTTGCTAAGGACTGGCCTTGGTTAATCCGAATGAACGAATTTATGAAGGAGTCCGATCCGAGGACAGATGATAATTATATCTAACGGCTGTCGCTCTCTCATAAAGCAAATACAAGAAAAATGAACCGAAACCGACGACAAGTTGCTGAAATAAGGAGACATTTCTTCTTCTTACTCTTCTTCTTCTTCTTCTTCTTCTTCTTCTTCTTCTTCTTCTTCTTCTTCTTCTTCTTCTTCTTCCTCCTCCTCCTCCTCCTCTTCCTCTTCTTCTTCGTCCACTTCTTCTTCTTCTTCTTCTTCTTCTTCTTCTTCTTCTTCTTCCTCCTCCTCCTCCTCCTCCTCCTCCTCCTCCTCTTCTTCTTCTTCCTNCTTCTTCTTCTTCTTCTTCTTCTTCTTCTTCTTCTTCTTCTTCCTCCTCCTCCTCCTCCTCCTCCTCCTCCTCCTCTTCTTCTTCTTCCTGTCTCCGCCGTCCATATCATCTTCTTCTTCTTCTTCTTCTTCTTCTTCTTCTTCTTCTTCTTCTTCTTCTTCTTCTTCTTCCTCCTCCTCCTCCTCCTCCTCCTCCTCCTCCTCCTCCTCTTCTTCTTCTTCTTCTTCTTCTTCGTCTTCTTCTTCTTCTTCTTCTTCTTCTTCTTCTCATCATCAGCAATCCGAAGAACAAGCGAAAGATTAAATCTGCTTCTTCTTCCCTTTTTTGCTGGTGGGACATGGCCCCTGATGAGAAAATATAAGGGAAGAAGCAGCAACAATTCAGATGGGTTTAGCGCAGAGATTAAGATGGGTTCATTAAAGCAGAGATTAAGATGGGTTTATTAGAGCAGAGATTCAGCTGGGTTTATTAGAGCAGAGATTAAGATGGGTTTATTAGAGCAGAGATTAAGATGGGTAGGACGATGCCTCAACGACCTTTTTCATTATTCTTTTCCTTTGATAAAAGGGGACAACGACCTTGCCCCACAGCTATAACGACCGGGCGTTCTATTCGGGTGAAGTCGGGGTTTAGGCGGGCTTTTGGGTGTGCACGCGTTGCTGCCATCCGATCTGAAGATCTCACGGCTGCACTGTCGCCACGTTGGAAAAATATACTCAAAAAAAAAAAAAAGAAGGCCAAACCCCGGCTAGTGGGACCTCGCCCCGGGCCCAGGTAATTCCGAGTAATTGGGGAAACTACTCGAGATTCACAAAACATGAGTTATAATTATTGCACTATGGTGGTACAGATTCGAATTGCAGTTCTGGCAATGTATACAACCCAGCTTTCTGGCCAGGTACGGTGCCCCCAAGTGCAATCTGTTTTTTTTTTTTTTTAAGCCCAGGGTGTTGTAGAGGCCAAGGACCAGACCCTGTATCTTGCCCCATAGCGCAAATATAACTCGTTTTTGTGACTTGTGACTCTACTCAATTTACCCCTTCATCGCATTCATCAGAGTTCGAACTCTTGTCTGTCAATCAACGGTTAGTATCAACGGGTCGATGATTGGTGTATTGCCGTACAATTCGGCCACGTGGGCTGGGTACTATAAGAAGAAGTTGGTACCTTACCAACCTTATCACTAAGTCTTGTCAAATTGACGATTCCGCAGGGGGGGAAAAAAAAATAAAAATTATTGACGGTTCCGCAGTGGAAAAAACTCCCTCCACCCCAACTCCTTTCTCCCACGTCTCGCCATTCACTGAAACTCGCCCCCCC